AGATATACATTTTCATAAAATTTGCATTGTTTTTCGAATTCGGGTCCGCCATATTGAATCCGCCATTTTGAATTTCTAAATTTTAACCTCAGATTCGTAATCAGCAACCTCGAAATAACTCCCGTGTTGAGACACCGTCGTAAACACGTGTCTATAGAACGATATTATAAACGAGAATTAATCGACGCTATTGGAATAAAGTATTTTTTAACGCACGTACTGGATTACATTTATTCCTTAAACGAGGTCATTCCATTTCAACCTTCGGGATCGCGACTCGGTGAATTATTACAAGAAAAACTCGTCTACAACAGTAGATTCGACTCAAAAGCGGGAATAGTGGGTTATCGGTGCACGCACGGCAACGTGGCCTATGTTCCCGGACAAGAACGAAACATCCCGAATACCAATTTTCAAGTGAATCGTAGGTAAGGAAAAATGTATGCTTCAAAGGATTAAATATATAATGACGGAATATTTATTCCAATTTTATGAACTTTAAATATTTCCACATTAATAAAAAATAATATATATATATTATTTGTGTAGCATTTAAGCTGTACTATAGTCTTGTAAATGTATATGGTAATGCAGTTTTAGAACCTTATACTGATAATAGGTAATCGTTATACATATTCTACATTGCATATTTTTGTATTGAGTTTATATAATATATCCTACAATGTTATAAAAGCTGTTTAATTCTAAACTTGACAAACTTGATACTGAATATTTGTAAAAACGTGGTATTTCGTTGCTTATATTATTATTCAAATATATTTTATTGATATGATTCAATATAAATAGATTCAATTGAATATGAACTAAACACAGTGTTGGTGTATCAGATTTGGACGCGTCGTTAATCACCTAAAAAATTTATTTCAGAATAATTTCGATAAATTTATACAATTCATTTGAATCTGCATATTAATATTATTATTTTCTGTAAATACTTGTGTAACATTGTTTTCTATTTCCATTGGTTTTTCTTTTTTTAAAAGATATCCAAATATCGTAGTGCCCTGATGGAAATTTTTTACTGAAATTGTAATAAATAATAACGAAATATTACTGAATTGCATCTTAAAATCTACATCAATTAATCCACTTTCAGTATCATTTTATTTATAAGATTAACAATTTAGGATAAAACGTTAAGATTACAAACAAATCAATAATTTTTAAATAAAAATCAATAAACACAATGAATTTAGTGCATAATTATTCGCTCAAATTCATTAAAAATGAACAATAATTTGTCAAAATTCATTAAAATTTAGTATATTTGTATAAATGTTTGTGGTTCGCTCGTGCGACCTTTTCAGAAGGACCGGTGAACAAGGTAGTTAAAAAAAAAAGGTAGACGCTACGGTTTCTTAACTGAACAAAATACACTGCTTTATTCACTAAAGTTCGAATTCAAGGCGGGCACCTTAGTCTTATCTGATACCGCGAAGATGCGATCGGAGCGAACAAGTCGCGCGTGACAAGATCCGCCTTGCGATAGCTATCGCGTTGGCTCACAGCGAATGGTAATGTGGCGCGAAAACCGTACTGAGCGGCCGACTATTCGCAAACGAACTCAGAGATACGCAAACAATGAGAGTGAAAATAGGTGAGTGTGTCCAGAGTGTGTCGGCTTTGGGAGCGAATAGAGGACTGTCAGCGCGGTTTGGGAGCGTGAGCGAACAGCTGTTTTTGTAAATCTATGACAGCAATATGGGGGTTTGCTGGTGATGTCGTCACTTCCTGTTTGTGACGACCGATAGCGACAGGGCCGTATCTTGAATACAAGGTGAATCCTCTACAATAAATAATAATGAAAATAGTCCAAATCAGTCTTAAAATAATAAAGAAATAAATTACGATTTAATACTTGTAAAAATTTTAAAAATAGTAAATGTAAACTTGGCGTTTGTTACAATAAAATATTATAAACTTGCAAATATTTAAGTATTAATTTAAGAATTTTTACTTGTATATCTGCAAGTTTATTGTAACATAAGTGCTAATTTTACAATATATGTACTTACAATTTTTTATTTAGAGTGTATTAAATCGTTCATTTCTTTATAATTTAAAGACTGTAATTTGGATTATTTTTATACCAATTTCATTACACATACAAAAGGGAGTAAAAAATTAATTGTACAAATATTAAATAGGAATACATTTATTAATAATCCTATATAATTATAAACAAAAACTTTTAAATTTCTTTTTCTTTTTCTGTTTATATGTTAAAATATAATATCAAATATATCTAAAATTATAGCATGTTTTTTTATTCGGTTTCTTTCACACCATCATAAAGAGCTTTTTCTCGCAAGATACAAATCGACCAAAAAAATTGTTATAAAATTAAAAATTACAAAAAAATATCAAATTATCGAATTTTTTTCTCAAAATATAACAAAAATAAAATTTCTGTCAATTTTCTGCACATTGTATTACCGCAACTTATTATTTATTTATCGAATAATTCAGTATTATTCAAATCTTTTGACATCATGTTCTCTTCTGATAAATCCTGAGGTTCAATTTTAATCGGGCACATTATCTGATGTCGTACCCCAGACAGCACAGGATATCCTGTGGACATCCGTTTTATGTCCATTTCTGGTCGGGACATCCATGAGCCTTACAAGCTGTCCATAGGATATACATTTGTGGACACTATAAGGATATCCCCAAAAAGGATAAGTTTGTATGTCCATATGCTA